CCCCAAAACCCCAAAACCCCAAAACCCCAAAACCCCAAAAAGCCATGATCATGTTGAAGATAAGAGATCAGGTATTCAACACATAAGAAATATTACTAAGAGGTTATCAAAAATTAAAATTCCCTAGAAATCCTTTTCTTAATTTCTTCTATGATTCCCTCTTACCCTACCCTTTGAAATCAAGTCTCTTCTCCACACTTTTATCTCCCTTGGATCTTCTATAATTCAGTCTCTCAAATTCTTACCTTCACCTTAAACCCTTTCCTTGCATAATTTAGTCAAGGACTCTTCATCAATTTCCTCGCTCCAATAAACCGAGAATGAACTTTATGGTCAACTGAGTACAAAGTGCTGTTATTAGGACAAATTTTGTTTGTGATTTTGGGTCATGAAGGAACTATTTGTGAGGAGTAAGCTTACGATTGATCTCTCCGTGATTTAGTTGCCTGAATAAAGCATTCCTTTGGTTTTGGAAGGAGGTGTTGTGTAGAGAGGTTATGTAGATGTTGGAAATGTTAGAGGGGGAGATCTTGGGTTTGAAGCGATTTGGTGTTTTAAGATGTTTTGTGGTTGATAAGTCGAATGATTTGGCTAGAATTAGGGAAGGAGGTTACATAGTTTCATTTTGTTCTTTTTCTGAAGAGGTTTCTAATCAATTTAGACAAAATTTTACCTTGGAATTACTAGTTGATGTTACAATTAATCCTTCCATCTGAGGAGAATTAAATTTGTAGTGATTCATTGATTTGTGATACACTTTAGGCGTGAAATCATAACTCTGATATTTGTGCTTAAGATCTGAATCTTGGATGCTAATGTGTTATCTACTTCATAAGCTCACTCTGGGATATAATTCGGTCTTATCTTTTGTAAAAATCTTTCAAACTTAGATATATGAGAGTTCTTATAAATATTTCTAGTGAGTTTTTCTAGATTGCCTAGAAAGATGAGGTAAAGAGATACAGCTCGGATTTTGGCTATCTTTTATGATCTGACTTGCACAAGCTTCCAAGATTTTAGTGTTATTTATTCAATTATCTGAACTTTTCTCATACTTTTGGATACTCTCCCTCGATTCATCCTTCCCCTTTCTTAATGAAGTAATCATAGGAGATCTCGAGTTAGTAGTCCTGGCCATTAAAGGAATGCGCTGTTTAGAAATAGCCTTCACTAATTTTCTTTTCTTTTTAGCAGGAGTTTTGAACTCAACTAAGTCTTCATTTAGCTATTTGGATCATAAAGTTTAGCTTACAGCTCTTTTCGTCTTTCAAATTTTGGTTCGTTTGCTACAATTATTTATACTTAGAGATAGTTGTAAGAGAGAGGATCAAGTCTAAGGATTATAGCTATATTTTACTTCTTCATAAACTGATTGTGCTTAGCATCTAATTTAAACAAGTTCTTTTGGATTAGTCCTATAAGGGTGTTTAGAAGTGTTCTGATGCTAATTTACTTACTCATAGTATGTTCCTTTCTGTCCTTCCAGTTGTTGCTAATCTCTAGAGAAGTGTTCTTAGCAGCCTCCATTATTATTTTATCTTCTCAATATGTTTTTATCAAGTAGGGGTTTTGGGGTTTTGGGGTTTTGGGGG